AACTTCATCAACGTGGCGAGCCTTGTACGTTAGAGGCACGGTGGAGGAGGCATTAAGAAGACTGAGAAACTGAATGATTTCAATGTGCTTTTGTTTTTGATTTGTATCCTTTCTTCAGGATACAGTGAAACGAAGAATAAGAGGACATTGTGCTGTGTCATTCTGGTTTGTCTGTCTCTTTGCCTATCTATCCTTTCATTTTCCTTTCTTTGCTCATCTTATTTCTCCTTCTACTTCACGTGCTTGTGGTCTTAGTGAATAGTTCTGTGACAATATATATGTATATTGTCACATAACTATGAACTAAAAGAGCGCACTTTGCAAAACAAACGGTAAATATTAAAAAAACAAGACAAAGATGAGGGGCACACTGAAACCATTCATTTTTGTCATTCTTCTTTTAACTCCCCCTTCACCGTGCCTCTCATGTACAAGGCTCGCTGCGTTTATGAAGTTGAGCGCGAGCCGCCCGCATCCCCGTGTGCCATAACGGCCCACTTGTACGCTGTGAGAAAGGGGCAGAGTAAAGGGGGAGGTGATAAACACAGGGAAGAGAGATGAAGAGAAGACAAAGAGAGGAAAAAAGGGAAGTAAGGGAAAGTACAGAGTGTGGAATGAAGATGAAGGCAAAGGAGAGGATAAGAAAAGCCTCAAGAAAAATGAGTCTGTCCTTGACGACAGAGAGGACGCACATTGTAAGGATGAGGTGGAAGGGCACATGGAAGACCTAGCTGAGCATTCTCAGCACAACAATTGCCACGACAGTTGGCATTGAGCATGCCCAACATACACTCCCGGCAAATGGCATGTCGATTGCAGGCCAAGATGAAGGAAGAACGCTCGCCACAAAAAAAAACATGCGTTCAGTATAGCGCCCATAGCCGCAAAATGGACATATAGTGTCCGGATGCAGAGGGTGCCTGCATTCAAGAGCGGAGGGACAAGCCTCTACACATGTGGATGCAGAAATCATTTCATTGTAGCGATTGTGACAGAGATGATGGTGGCTACAGCCAAGCGTAACGGTGCCTGTAGCTGTGCAAAGGAGAAGGTCGTGGATTGTTGGTACATTGTTGTGCTGCAGCACGGGGCCAGAGGAATGATCTTCGACATAAAAGAGATTGCAGACAGTTTGGTGTGGCAAGCAATCAGCATCATTATGTAAGAAGAAATCAGTAACATCAGTCATGACATGGACCATGATGCCGTTGTCCCACAACTCCCAGTGGTCAGATGTACGTACACTGGCCATGCAATGGCCACGTCCGTGCACAATGCTGGCAGAGGTGTGGGATGGAGGATTAAACCACTCACCTGCTCGAGCGTTGCGTAGTTCAAGTTGGCGGTCCCTCATTGCTACTTGTAGGACAGCAATGGTAAGCCTCTTTCCCTGGTATACTTACAAACCTCTGGCTGTACGTGGGGGAGATCAGCATCAAGCTTAAGGGCGATTGCAAGGAAGTCTGATGGTGTATAAAACGCGCCGTGGAGAATGTGAAGACACACATATATTAGCCGCAGTCAGACCACGGAGATTGGTGAGGATCTGAGGCTGGTGGGCCTGATGCTGGTCAGCAATTTGCAGATCTCCCAGATGGTGTTGCAAGCCCAAAATGTCTTGGGTTGTTTGCTGGTCAGTCCTTTGCAGATCGCCCATGTGATCTGCGCGTGGTGGGGGCAAAAGGCAGCAAGGGAAACTGCAGATCTCCCTTCTTGCCTGTAAACGGGCAGGTGCGCTACTGTAGTTGTGCAGGCAAGAAGGGAGATCTTCCCCCACCACGCGCAGATCGCCCATGTGATTTGCGCATGGTGGGGGCAGAATGCAGCAAGGGAAACTGCAGATCTCCCTTCTTGCCATGTGTCTGTAGTTGTGCCGGGGTGGTACATTGTCCTGCACGGGTGGGAAGACAAACAGCACAAGGCAGAAAGGGAAACTGCAGCAAGCCAAAAGCCATCAATGCAAACATTGCAAAGGCAGCGAGGCAAAGCAAGAAAAAAAAAAGAGTCCCAGAAAGAAGACAGAGCAAAAAAAGTAAAAAAGGGATGATGATAGATTGTTTTGCCGGACACTGACTCGTTAGGAGGCTGAACACTCGACAATGTTTTTTTTAACTTTTTTGAAGTTTTTTCTGCTTATGATGTCTGTTTGCTGGTCTACGCGTCTCTCTTCCCGCCTGTGGGTCTGTCTACCTGTATCGTGTCTCATGTCTGTTCATCTCGTTCTCTCTCTCTCTCTCTCTCTCTCTCTCTCTCTCTCTCTCTCTCTCTCTCTCTCTCTCTTGCTCTGTCTCTGTTGTTGGGGGGTTGTTGCTAGTGGGTCAGTTTGACTCTGATTATCTCCCTTCTTTTGCCTGCACAACTACAGTAGCGCACCTGCCTGTTTATATCATTCTGACCGTTTTTGTCTATTGCTATCTGAGATATTGTTCACAGAAAAAACTTTTGCTTGATGGGCTTGTTCCTTCTCCCTCACCCTCTGTCTCATCATCCTGCGTACTTCCTTTGTTTGTTTGGCATTTGCAACGATGGGGAATTTCCCAGAAGGTTCAACACGATGCAAGCTTTTGAAGCTCAATGACAAGCTTACGAAGTTGGAGCGTACTGTAGAATACATTGAAGCACAACTTACGGCGGCTGGCCACTCCACGAGGCAGTAATGGGGAGTATATGCACAGAGACGGCTCTGTGTCGTTTGTGCAAACTAAGGAGAAGGAGGTGAGACTGGATTTGAGTATCCAAGAGTTATGCGTGTGCCTATCGATGTGTATGTGTATGACACACACACACACACACACACACACACACAC